AAAAAAAAAAAAGAAAAATACTAATTTGCCATGGGTGTTTTAAGAAAAACAAACTGAATAGCACTAATGTTGATATATACTAAGTATGTCCAAATTTACGTGTCATTCCACTTAAAATAGAATGACAAATGATGGAGTAGGAAGGCAGTATTGACTGCACCTTATCTCAGTCTGCCATCTTTCTCTTCCTTTTTTTTTTTTTGAGACAGAGTCTCACCTTGTCACCCTCAGTAGAGTGCCATGGCCATCACATTTCACAGCAACATCTTGCTCTTAGGCTTAGGCAATTCTCTTGTCTCAGCTTCCCGAGTAGCTGGGACTACAGGCACTCGCCACAGCATCCGGCTATTTTTTTGTTATTGTTGTTGCAGTCTGGCCAGGGCTAGGTTTGAACCTGCCACCCTCGGTATATTGGGTCGCCCTACTCACTGAGCCACAGACACAGCCCATGATGGAATGATTCAAAAAAGAACTCTTTTAGTTGAAAACTAAAATAGCTGATCACACTATCAAAGAGGCAACCTTGGGGCTAAGTAAAGTGGCTCACACCTGTAATCGTAGCACTCTGGGAGGCCAAGGACTGCTTCAGCTCAGTTTGACACCAGCCTGAACAAGAGTGAAACACCATCTCTACTAAAAATCCACAAACTAGCCAGGGCACTGTGGCACAAGCCTATAGTTTCGGCTACTCAGAAGGCTGAGTCAGGCGGATTGCTTGAACCCAGGAGTTTGAGGCTGTGGTGAGCTAGGCTGATACAAGGGCACACCAGTCTGGAAAGCAGAGTGAGATTCCATAACAAACAAACAAACAAGCAGGTATCCTTGGGATGCTGATGAACATTCTTACTTTGACCAAATCCAACTTAGTGATAGCAAATACCTCGTCCATTTAATAATATTCAGTGCTTTAATGAGATATGAATATTGTATCAAATTTGTTAATTAAGAAGGAAATGAAGAATTCTATTGGTGAGAACCACCTGAATTCTGGATGTCAGGAAAATTTTGCCCTTCTACAAACAGGACTGTGGTTAGTCATATGACGCTCAGGAATGCACACGTGATGAAAAACAGCTTACACCAGTGATTCTCACCCAGCGCTGATTTTGTCCCCAAGAAATATTTAGTAATGTCCGGAAACAATTTTATCACAACTACTAGGGGGTGTTGGGTGTTCTTCCCATCCCCAAAATAATTATCCAGCTCAAAATGACAACAATTCCAAAGTAAAGAAACGCAGGCTTACACCATATACTTATAATGAATACTCTGTGACCATCAGAGGTCATCATATATTGGAATATATTAGAGAAAAAAGAAATATTTTTATAAGAAGGGCTATTTTCTAAATACACCACAGTCTTCAACATGTTAGATAAACTTCATTGTATTCCATAAGCCATCTCCAAAGGTAAAATAAAGTCTATCATATCAAAATATTTATCTGAAGCAGTGGCATCACGCCTGATCTCAGGAATAAACTAAAGAGATTTAAAAACAACAATAGTTTACTATTTTAAATTGCACATGAATTTCATGGACACCATGTATGAAAATGCCCATCTATACCAAATATTACAGAATCAATTATCTCCCAAAATTTCCTATGTAAAATCCTAACTCCCAATGTAACTGTTTTGTAGACAGGCTATTAAGGAAGGTAATTAAGGTCAAATGAGGTCATAAGGGAGGAACCTTAACTCAATAAAGCTGGTTTCCTCCTAAGAAGAGGAAGAGATTGATTTCTCTCTAAGCATTAACAGGAAAAAGATCACGTAAGAACACAGTGAGAAGGCAGCTGCCTATAAGCTGAGAGGCCTCACCAAAAATTGAGGGGACCTTGACCTTTTTTTTTTGTTTTGTCTGACACAGGGGCTCACTTTGTCACCCGTGTCGACATAGCTCACAGCAACCTCAAATTCCTGGGCTCCAATAATCCTTTTGCCTCAGTCTCCCAAGCAGCTGCTGGGACTATAGGCACCCTCCACAATGCCTGGCTAATTTTTTTTTTTTAGAGAGTCTTACTTTATCGCCCTCAGTAGAGTAAAATGGCGTCAAAGCTCACAGCAACCTCCAGCTCTTCAGCTTAGGCGATTCTCTTGATGCAGCCTCCCAAGTAGCTGGAACTACAGGCACCTGCCACAACGCCCAGCTATTTTTTGTTGCAGTTTGGCCAGTGTCTGGTTTGAACCCACCATCCTTGGTTATATGGGACTGGTGCCAAACCCACTGAGCCACAGGCGCCACCCTGCCTGACTAATTTTTAAAAATGGGGTCTTGCTCTTGCTCAGGCTGGTCCTGAACTCCTGAGTTCAGCCAATCCATCCACCTCAGCCTCCCAAATTGCTGGGATTATAGGTGTGAGCCACTGTACCACCCCCTGGGGACCTTAATCTTGGACTTCTTGTTTCCTGAGCCATAAGAAAATAAATTTCTGTTTTTTTTTTTTTTTCTTGAGACAGGAGCCTCAAGCTGTCCCCCTGGGTAGAGTGCCATGGCATCTCAGCTCACAGCAACCTCCAACTCCTGGGCCCAAGCAAGTCTCCTGCCTCAGCCTCCCAAGTAGCTGGGACCACAGGCGCCCGCCACAACGCCCTCTTTTTTTTTGGTTGCAGCTGTCATTGTTGTCTGGTGGGCCGGGGCTGGATTCAAACCTGCCACCTTGGGTGTACATGGCTGGCACCTTAGCCACTTGAGCCACAGGCGCTGAGCCTAAATTTTTAAGCCACCCAGGAAGTGGTATTTTGTTAAAGCAGTCCAAGCAGACTGATATACACCACAGAGATTTTATTTTGTTTAATTTTTTGAGGCAGACCTCACTCTGTTGCCTTTAGTAGAGTGCAGTGGCATCATCATAGCTCTCTACAGCCTCCAACTCCTGGGCTCAAGGGATCTTCCCACCTCAACCTCCTAAGTAGCTGCAACTATAGGCATGTATCACTACATCCAACTAATTTCTTCTACTTTTAGTAGAGATGGGGTCTCACTCTTGCTCAGGCTGGTCTTCAATTCCTAGCTCAAGCAATCACCCTGCTTCAGACTCCCAGAGAGCCAGGATTACAGGTGTGAGCCACTACACGCAGTTAGAGATTTGATTTCAAATGGCGTAGGTTAGGGTATGGTATGATCCAGAACTGATAATTTTCAGTAGAATCCCAAACGAATCTAATACACAGTCAGAATTAAGAATCACTTATCTAATAGCGTAATGTAATTCTAATTATGCTTCAAAGAAGATCCTACTCATAATACTAAGCTAAGACTCAGAACAAATGAAAAAGACAAAGAGCCTGCAACTTTTTGCAGTACTTGTTTCCTCCCACTGTAAGTTAGTTAGGGTTTAGAGATAATACCACGTCACCTTCAAATTCTTTAGGCATTTCATCTATTTCTGAGTTTTGCATAACAAGATATAATTTGATTCAACAAGTAAAAGTTAATGGGATGAATTATTTTTTCTACACTATTAAAAATGAAGCTCCAGGAAAAATATAACTCCTAATTCACTACTATTTTCTCTTTACGTTCAAGTGTTAAGCGACTCCACTAGACTTTTGGGAGGAACTAATTTTACATGCATAAAATACAGCTCACCAGACCACACCATTATGAAGAGTACATTAAAAAGATAGGGAGTTAAAAACAAATAACGTTCTTTTAAAACAAGTATATGCACTGGCACATAAAGTTTCAAATGAAAATGAAACTTAAAAATTATGTCATACCTGGTAAAGTCTGGTGGAACAGGGGTGGTAACAAAGGATGCCATGGGCTTTCGATGAACTTGCTGAAACATCATGAGGATTTCTGAGCTCTTAGATATCAACTCACTCTTACTACAAGACCGCAACTGTGTGAGGAAAAAAGTTATCTTAGCAAAGAAAATTACTATCTATTGGCCATCTCACAATTCTTAATAAGAAAGAAAATGATATTTATTCTGGTCATAAACTAAAAAATGAAAAATAAGGCAACTCTAAGAAAATTATCACTCTATAAAAGATCTAGGTTTATTTCAATTCTAGCAGTAAAGTCACTGAAAAGTGTACTTGATTTTAAAGCAATTTTCCCTCCTCACTTTTTTCTTTTTTGAGACAGAGTCTTACTATGCCGCCCTCAGTAGAGTGCCATGGCGTCAGAGCTCATAGCAATGTCAAACTCTTGGGCTTAAGCGATTCTCTTGCCTTAGCCTCCTGAGTAGCTAGGAATACAGGTGCCGGTCACAATGCCAGCCTATTTCTTTTTTTATTGTAGTTGTCATTGTTGTCTGGCAGGGCTCGAACCCGCCAGCATCAGTGTACATGGCTGGCACCATAACCACTGAGTAACTGGCACCAAGCCTCTCTTCACAGTTTAAGATGATTCAAATTTTAAGCAACTGCAAACACATTTTCAGACTCATACAGTGAAGTTTTTATGAACTTTAAAGAACAAATCCTGTTGAAAGTCTTTAAAAGAAAGGATTGTGGCCAGGTAAGGTGGCTCATGCCTGTAATCCTAACACTATGAAAGGCCCAGACAGGGGGATCACTTGAGCTCAGGAGTTTGAGAACAGCCTAAGAAAGAGTGAAACACCACCTCTACTAAAAATAGAAAAATCAGCAGGGTAATATGTTAGGCGCCTATACTCTCAGCTACTTGGAAGGCTGAGGCAGAAGGATAGCTTGAACTCAGGCTAGAGGTTGCTAGAGTGACCCCATGGCACTCTAGTCTGCTGGGCAACAGTGTAAGATTCTCTGGCTCCAAAAAAAAAAGCATTTCTCAAGACTGCATTCTAGGTAACAGAAATGTTAAAATATAACAAACACTGGCTCAGTGCCTGTGGCTCAAGTGGCTAAGGTGCCAGCCAGATATACCTAAGGTGGAGGGTTCGAATCCAGCCCAGGCTGCCAAACAACAATAATGGCTGCAACCAAAAAGTAGCTGGGTATTGTGGCAGGCGCCTGTGGTCCCAGCTACTTGGGAGGCTGAGGCAGGAGACTGGCTTGAGCCCAGGAGTTGGAGGTTACTGTGATCTGTGATACCACAGCACTCCACCCAGAGGGACAGCTTGAGGCTCTTTCTCAAAAAATAAATAAATAAATAATAAAATATAACAGACACCAAATCTTATACTATTATCAATTTGGGAAATACTACTTTAAATTATGTCAAAGAGAAAAAGTGAGAAATCTAACTTCAGTAAGATAATAATGGCAGTTGAAAAGACCACTGATTTCATAATCAAGAAAACTAGTGGCTCAGCGCCTGTAGCTCAAGTGGCTAAGGCGACAGCCACATATACCTAAGGTGGCAGGTTCAAATTCAGCTGGGGCCCACCAAACAACAATGACGGCTGCAACCAAAAAATAGCCAGGCGTTGTGGTGGGTGCCTGTGGTCCCAGCTACTTGGGAGGCTGAGGCAGTAGACTCACTTAAGCCCAGGAGGTGGAGGTTGCTGTGAGCTGTGATGCCACAGCACTCTACCCAGGGGGACAGCTTGAGGCTCTGTCTCAAAAAAAAAAAGAAAAGAAAAGAAAACTAGTTTGAAATTGTAATTCTACTCTCAGTTGGTTTATGTATAGAACAAGAATAATCCACCACTGCTTGTTTCAGGGAGTTTGTTTTAAGGATCATAAAGCTATATGTGAAACGACTTTGTAGGCTATTATAAGAATTGTGTGTCTCCCCCCGCCCTGTAATTTATATATTTTAGGCCCAATCCCCAGTAACTCAGAACTAACCACACTTGGAGATAATCTTTTATTAAAATGAGGTAATTAGGGTGGGGTCCTAAACCAATAGGACCGGTGTTGTTGTTTTGTTTTGTTTTGTTTTTTAGAGACAGAGTCTCACTTTATTGCCCTTGGTAGAGTGCTGTGATGTCACAGCTCACAGTAACCTTCAACTCCTGGGTTTAGACGATTTTCTTGCCTGGGACCACAGGCACCCACCACGATGCCCAGCTATTTTTTTGTTGCAGTTTGGCTAGGGCCAGGTTTAAACCTGCCACCCTTGGTATATGGGGATGGTGCCCTACTTACTGAGCCACAGGCACCACCCATGACTGGTATTCTTATAAGAGGAAGAGATACCAGGAAAGAGCTCAAGTCATCATTTTGCCTCAGCCTCTCAAGTAGTGGGACTATAGGCGCCTACCACAGTGTCCTGCTAATTTTTCTATTTTTAGTAGAGATGGAGTTTCACTCTTTCTCAGGCTGGTCTTGAACTCCTGAGCTCAGGAGGCCGCCTGTTTGGGCCTCCCAGAGTGCTAGGATTACAGGCTGAGTCATTCCGCCTGGCCACAATGCTTGCTTTTAAAGGCTTTAGTACAGTGGTTCTCAACCTGTGGATTGCGACCCACAGGAACCATATTAAAGGGCTGCGGTGTTAGGAAAGTTGAGAACCCATGCGAGGACACAGAGAAAGCAAGTCATCTACAAGGACTTGCTTGTAGCAAGGACACAGTCATCTATAAGTCCAGGAGAGAGACCACAGAAGAAACCAAATCTGCCAACACCCGGATCTTTTTATCTTTTTTTTTTTTTTTTTTTGAGATAGAGCCTCAAGCTGTCCCCCCAGGTAGAGTGCCGTGGCATCACAGCTCACAGCAAACTCCAACTCCTGGGCTTAAGTGAGTCTCCTGCCTCAGTCTCCCAAGTAGCTGGGATCACAGGCACCCACCACAACGCCTGGCTATTTTTTGGTTGCAGCCGTCATTGTTTGACAGGCCTGGGCTGGATTCGAACCCGGGAGCTCTGTTGTATGTGGCTGGCGCCTTAGTCTCTTGAGCTACAGGCACTGAGCTGATAATTCTGAACTTGAACCTAGAATTTCTCATTGGTACCATTTAAAGTAAGTGTCTTACAGACTTATAAATAGATACCTCTTATCTAGTTAAGGTAGTTCCCTTTTAGTCCTAAATTGTTAAATAATTTGGCCATAATTGAGAACCAAATATAATTTAATGGGCCAGGCACAGTGGCTCAATTCTAGCACTATGGGAGGCCAAGGTGGAAGGATCACTTGAACTCAGGAGTCTAAGACCAGCCTGAGCCAAAGTGAGACCCCCATCTCTACAAAAAAACAGAAAATTTATCCAGTTGTGCTGGTCCCAGACCGTAGTCCCAGCTACTCAGGAAACTGTGGCAGGAGGATGGCTTGAGCCCAGGAGTTTAAGGTTGCAGTGAACTATCATGATGCCACTGAACTCTAGCTCAGGTGACAGAGCAAGACTCTTTTCTCAAAAACAAAAAAAAGAAAGAAAAAAAATTAAAACAAAATAATTAAATGGTATTTTAAAACTTCAATATTATTCTATTTATTCAATTTAGATGTTAATGTGGTTTTGCCTTATATAGTAAGTAATCTGCTGATTGCTATCTGTTTACATTTTTTATTTTCTGTGCATTATAATGTTTTGCCGTCCTAAAAATCTTTCTGCCTAGGGCAAGACTGCCCTTCCCTGGCTAATTGTGAGACAACAAAGGCTCAATGGTAAATATCCCTCTGAAATGCAAACTAACCAATCCAAAACCATAACCTTCTTTATCCAGTCCACATATCCCAGGAAGCGATATTGCTACGCCTTAATCACATCACCACTAGGTTCCAGGCAACTAGGGGCCAACACTACAGTTTAAGGTCCATCATTCCTAAACCTACTCAGCGTATCTACCTGCCTTGCCCATTACTTGATGAGAACAAAAGCTCTCTGTGATTCTCTGTCTTTTCCCCACTCTCTCGCTCCTGGCAGACCCTGGTCCTTCCCCAATTGGTTCAGTGTGCTGTGCCACTGAACCTGTGTGTTTATTTAATAAACTTTATTTTTTCAAGCCCTCCTACACATGTCTCCTCTTGTGGCCGCAAATGACACATAAAGAAAACAGAACAGGACTTAATTCCCCTAACAGAAGAGTTCCTGAATAAAATCAATTCTTACCACTTTAACTAGTATCCAGCCCTGACTATAACAGTTATAATCAAGAAGAGATTTTTCTGATAATGAAACATTCTTTCATTCCTGCTTATTTTGTTTTCTTAAGTACCTTACCGATTTTGACTTGCCAGTATTTAAGATTCTAGCACTTATGTTCATAAAAGATTCATCTCTAATTTTCTTATCTTTTTTTTTTTTTTTT